AGTTTCTTTTATAAATTTCTCCTTCAAAGTTATTGCTGCATCATGGATGGTTCGGCTAAGATTATCTGGTATATACACAATTTCAAATTATTTCTGGAATGTTTGAATCTCCTTGATGTGAGTGGTTGTACCTTTCTTGAATCAGTTCTATATCAAAGCAAAAGCATGAGTTAGATGCTGAGAAAAATCATATACGTCGAAGATTTCTTTGGTGTAGTAGTCTCTCCACTAGGTATCAAATTCTTATGTGCAGTAAGATGATGGTCGAAAGGAGATGGGAGTAAGAGCGGTAACACCACCATATTGAGAAAGGTGTTTTTCACACTTGTCCTTAGTAAACCACATGTTGTAGAGGCACATAGCACCCTTCATGTCATAAATTGGTTTAGGCATTATCTGAATAAGGCCAAACTGTCGAGAGACCAAGTTAAGTTGATAACTAACCAAAGTACTTTGACTATTCGAAGGCCTCAGTCTGTTGACAAGTAACTTGGGGGTAAGAAATGATTCCCATATGGTTGTAGATTCTTCTTCTTGATCTGTTGTGGAAGCAGGAAATTCCCTCGTGAACCATTCAAGACCATGTGTCCTGTCAGCGAAAGGAGCCATGGAAGAGGTAAAATTGTGACGTTTGGCAAACATCATCACAAATGTAGTAAAGGAATCCTGTATATTCAATCATTTGTCATTGGGTGTTAAAAGGGCCAATCTCATCCCTTTGACTCTCCTGTTTTATATATCTTCATCCTCTTCATTGATGGTGTTACATGTTGGGAGTGAAGGTTCAAATGTGGCATTCAACCATGGTTAAAGTAACCATAATGGACCTGCAAAGATTATGTTGTTTCCTAACTGATAGTTTCTCAAATATTCGATGAATTCTCATAGTGGTTCATAGAGAAAACCTAGGATCATTTGGCTTACATGCAATTCTCATAGTGGTTCATAATGAATTCTCATAGTTTGTGCCCTACATGCAATTGATTCGCCATGGTTAGAAATCTCTTCACTACTGCATATCTTTAAGTCCTTCAAAGTGGATGGTGTCTTCATCTATCTCCATTGGGTCAAACATTTTCCTAGTTCGTCGAAGACCAGTGATCGCAGTGATATCAAAAAGAGTGGGAGTCATCATTCCATAAGAGAAATGGAAGGTGTTGTGTGAAGCATCCCAAAAGTATAATGAAGCTACCAACATGCTTTGACTATAATATATACCAGATTTCGACAGCTGAATCAGGTCATATATCTCCATTTCATTCCATAATTGAGATTTCTTTTGCTCAACTTTGGCAAGCCAAGTGAAATTTTGCTTAGGATCTTTCACCAAGGGGAAAGAGCGAAACACTTTAAGAGTGTTACTCATGTAATCTAGATTAATTGGTTTGTTTGGTGTTAAAGTGTCAGTCGAAGACTTCACTTGATCCTCTACAGGTTTGGTTTGAACATCGAGTATGACTTTGCCTTTACTATAAATTTTCCTCTTATTAGCCAAGGGTTTGGTACGGTGGTAAATAGGAAAAATTATGAGAGTTTTTCAGCATTTACATTAGGGCCAGACAAATAACCCATATATGCATGCATTTCACCATAAATGGTTAGAGGAACAAGTACCTAAGATTGGTAGATTTTGCTTTTCTCTTCAAGTAGAGGAGGCTCAGGAACATACTCCTGATTTCCTACCAGCAGCGATTTTGCTATTTGAATAATTGAGATTGAGGCTTCGTTCTATTGTTTGGATGCTTTGTTGGTTTTAGGCACTATCATCGTTGAAGACTAGAGCTTGGAAGATGAAGGTTTTGTGAAGATTTTTAAAGAAGAAGTTTCAAGAAGACGCGAGTTTATGAGCTCAAAAGTGGAAAAGTTTTGAAAAAATGAGAGACTAAGGTACTTATAGGGAGGGGAAGAAGTCGTTGCATTTTTCATTTGAATGATAAATGAAGAGTTAATGAGGCACGTGTAATCTTCTGAGAGGATGTGCAAATGATTGCCTATACAATTACCTCCATGTTTCTATTTTCTAGGGATAATGATTTTCTGCAGCGATGCATGTCTCAATGAGACATTTAAGAAAAGTGGTCATCATGACCATGATGTCACAACAGTAATTATTGTCGCGTCGAAAGCTTTCAAAAATGTCTTTTTCTCGTCATAATCGAAGAAGACATTTTTGGAGGGCAATTTGTTAGCTGGAAATTCGATACTCAAGTTTAAGTAATGAGTTCGAAGGAAATTCGAAAAGAGCGTTGAAGATAGCTGAAGTTTGTTTTTGACAAGTAATGGGTGACATTTCGACCGAAGTCTTGGCGAAATGGTTTATATTGGCGAAATGGTATAATGTTGGGACTTAGCATTTTTTGAAGATGTTTCGAAATCAAATTTCGACAGAGATATTTGAAACTAGGTTGATAACTGAATTTTGACCTTATCCGTTCTATTGAAAAGAGACGTGTGGAGGCCTGCGAGTGGTAGAGCACATGCAAGAGAGAATGTGTCATCATCTGAAGAGAAAACTGTTTGTTACAGTTAGTGTCGAATTAGTATAAATAAGAGTCTTTAGTGTTAGGATTCTATGTGTTTGATATTGTACAAATTACTCATATTTACTCAAAGTACCAAGTATTATCGAGAAACGAGTTTTTGAGAAATGTACGTATGAAGCATTATAGTTACCTGTAATGCAAGTTTATTTTCATTAAAGTTGTTTATATTCCTTTAAAATTCCAGTCAAAACTTCTCTTTCTTCCTATCACTTTCATAAATTATCTTATTATTATCCTCAAAATTTACCTTTACTTTTGAAGAAGTTAATATTCATAAAACTTAAACAAAACTATACACTATTGTCTTAGGATCAAGCTAGTCGATTCTGCGAGTAACCAAAGATATTAGATTTTGGAAGACTAGTGCTTTGTTTACCAAACTTTAAGGTAAACAGTAACCTCGCCACTTTTGCTTTATCACCCCATGCATAAACTTTTTCTAAGATCTCCCAAGCTTGCTTCACTGCCTCGCATTCTCCAACTTTTTCAAAGTTATCACCATCGACACAAGAATGAATCAAGAAGAGTGCCTTGTAATCCTTTTTCTTCTCTTCATTGAATGCAATTTTCTGAGTATCTGTAGCTTCTTCCCTAAGTGAAGTAACTTCATTCTTGATCACCTCAAGAACGTCTTGATACCTAAACAAAATCTTCATTTGTTTTGACCACTTATCATAATTCTTCGAATCAAGAATCAGTAGGTTGGTGGGAACTCTATCATTGAAAACAATATTCATCTTTACAGCGGATTATGGATCAGAACCAAGATTCTTGATGCCAAATGTTAGAACATACACAAGCCCTTGTGGTGAATCAATGGAGAATTTGTGTTAATTGGAGAAGATGAAATTAAAAGATGTGTGTGTGTGTGTGTGTGAGAGAGAGAGAGAGAGAGAGAGAGAGAGAGAGAGAGAGAGAGAGAGAGAGAGAGAGAGAGAGAAAATATGTAACAAATGACATTAACTAAAATGTTACAACTTAAGGGATATTTTTACAAGCCAACAAAACTATTGAAAAACAAACAACTTAAAAAATAAGTTAAAAAACTCAGACACGGGTTTGTAACCGATTACGCAAAACATCGTAATCGATTATGCCTACGATAAACACAATAGACAGAAACAAAAACTCATGTTATAACCAATTATGCCATTTTCTATAACTGATTACCAATCCGATAAAATCAATTTCTATTTTTTAGAGATACTTATTTTTTAAGTTGTTTCCTCTAATATACTTCTAAAAACTTATACAATACATTTGAATCACTAAGTATTCTAATAAGATAAACAACCTAATGTAATTTTTGTAGGATTCAAAATTTATTAAATTTGTCATTGACCAATGTAGTAAAAGCAATTATTCAACGGCAAAAAAAAAACATTTTTTCTATTTTAAAGTGAGTGTGGCTTTAAAAAAATAAATTTATTTTAAAACGGACTTATCACATACACATGATCAACCAGACATACTAAGCACTTTTATCGAAAACAAAAACAAAAACATAAGCAGCACAAATTCCCAAGATTCTTAATCCAACGGATAAGATCAAACTTAACAAAATCAAACGGTTTCCATTAAGCACAAATTCCTTAATCAACTCACGGATTACGATGTTTCACTTTCAGACCAAATGTGGAGCCCACAACAGTACAGTCTACTCACAAAGGCGGGAACCAAAGAAAGAAGCATGGCCATTTGCTGTCATCAGATGAGATGAGACTCTGATAATGAGAGAGAAACAACTACAGTACTATCATAAAAATTTGTTTTTTACTTTTCTTAGAGAGAGAAACAACTTTCACAGTTCACACAAAAACACAATCATTCATTTTTCACTATACATGCTTTCTATGTGTTTATGTCACTGATATGTAGTAGTACTTAGTATAGCACTTAGTAGCTCACAACTTCAATAACATTCTAGTTTCTGAGAAGGGTTTGTTTTTCTTTTGTTGTTGTTTTTGTTTTTGTTTCTTCATCATTCTCTTGCACCCTTTAATTTCTTTTCAACTTTTTGACTTTCTGTTTTGTTTCCAAGGAAAAAAGGAAGCAACTTTGTTTCTGGGTCATGTTGGTTCTTTTGTTGTTGGTCACTCATTGCTACTAAACTATGGAGTAGTTCTTTGTTATTGTTCTTATTTGTGTAAAGGTGGAAATTTTATGGGCGAGTGAAGAGAATAAAAAGATGAGGTTTTCTAGAAAATGATAAGGATTCTATGAAGGCTTGTTTGTGAAGATTTTGGTTTGAAAAATGAAAAGTTTGTGGAATATGCTTATGCTTATGCTTATTCTTATGTTTGTGCTCTTTTTGAACAACCCATTTTAAGATAGAGTTTAAAAATTGAGTCTTTTGGAGTGATGTTAATATGAGTTTGTTTCCAAGTTTTGTGGTTGTGACTTTGTTTCTTGTTTATGGGATTGATTTGTGGTTGTGACTTTGTTTCTTGTGTTTTGATGTTTAAGAAAAGGCAAACCCTTTTTTCTCTTTCAAATAAGTTGTTGGTATTTCAGCTTCTTGTTTTGTTGTTGTTTAGTTTGCATCATGACAATACTGTGCAATGTCATGGGAGATTGAGTAAACATGTGTCGTATGAGTCTCGGTCGGGGGCGGAATATAGGGATGATTCTAAGAAGATTATTGTTAGTGTAGTTTTAGGAGTAATCACTGGATTAATTGGTTCGATTCTGTTTGTGGTTGTGATTCGTTGCGTTGTTCAGTATCTGAATAGAACGCCTATCCTCAAAGGACCGGTGATATTCTCGCCAAAGATTGCCTCGAAGACACTCCAATTAGCTTTGTCGAAAGAAAACCATTTGCTTGGTTCGAGTGCGAATGGGAAGTACTATAAAACTGTTCTTGAGAATGGTCTCATAATTGCGGTGAAAAAGCTTACACCGTTTGAGAGCAATTCGCAAGAGAGTAGGAGAAAATCCGTGAAGAGGAAGATACAGATGGAGCTAGAGCTTCTTGCAAGCTTAAGACATAGGAATTTGATGAGTTTGAGGGCTTATGTTCGCGAAAACGATGGATTCTCATTGGTTTATGATTATGTGTCGACCGGTAGTCTTGCAGATGTGATGAATAGGGTTAGAGAAAATGAGTTGCAGATTGGTTGGGAAGTTAGGTTGAGGATTGCTGTTGGTGTTGTGAAGGGTCTTCAATATCTTCATTACACTTGTGTTCCTCAAATTTTACATTTCAATTTGAAGCCTACAAATGTGATGTTGGATTCTGAATTTGAACCTAGATTGGCAGATTATGGATTGGCTAAACTTCTACCCAACTTAGATAGAGGGACTTCTCTCAACACCCCTCCCGAATGTTTCCACATTCGCAGGTACAACAATAACCAAACCTTATCTCATTAAATATTTACTGTGTCAGGGTTGTGTCTGTGTGGGTGTCAATATTGTGCCTGTGTCTGATTTGGTGTCAATGTTGTGTCTCGTGTTTAGGGTTGTGTCTGGTGTCTGTGTCGTGTCAATATTGAGTCTGTGTCTGATTTGGTGTCAGTGTTGTGTATGGTGTCTTGTGTCGGTGTCAATGTAGTGGTGTCTGAAACAATTCTGATTGGTGGTATTGAGATTGAAACGTGTGTTTTGAAAATGCAGCAGGTACACAGAAAAGAGCGACATATTCAGCTTCGGGATGATACTAGGAGTCTTACTAACCGGTAAGGACCCTACGGATGCATTCTTTGGAGAAGCGGTGAGAGGTGGAAGTTTGGGATGTTGGCTGCGACATTTGAAGCAAGCGGGAGAGGAACGAGAAGCTCTAGATAAGAGTATTTTGGGGGAACAAGGTGAAGAAGATGAGATGCTAATGGCTGTTGGGATTGCTGCGGCGTGCTTATCTGATATGCCTGCTGATAGACCTTCCAGTGATGAACTTGTTCACATGCTAACACAGCTCAATAGTTTTTGAGCCAAATTTTTATGCTTCTGTTTCTTTAGAAGTATCTTTTCGTTCTTTCTTTTTCTATACTAAGATGTTTAGGTGTTTTTGATTGTTTTGCATGATCTTAGTTTTGATGGTTTGGTTGAAACGTTTTCTGCCCTTTTTTTATATGGTTTTGCAGATTCAGTGTTGTGTTTTTTTTACACTAGTGTATATATTATGTTTGTAAACCAATAGTGATGTTAACAAGTACTGTTTTCTTAGTCAGTACTAACTACTAATGATTGAATCTTAAGATGACCATGACATGGACTTTGTTAACATAAAGATTTTCTTGAAAACAAAGTGAAAATATAAGCATATTTTTGTTCTGATTTGAATGCCTCAACTTTATCATTTCATTGAAAATTAATAAACAAAGTTGATTTCGACCAAGTCTGAAGGAGGCAATAGTTCAAACGATGAAAAGTAATTGAACAAGTCTGAAAGAGGCAATAGTTCCAACGATGAAAAGTAATTTAAAACAAGGAGAAGAGAGACAAAACCAAAAGCTTGTCCTTAAAGTTTAATTTTTGAAGGGAGTCATGGATATGCTCTATTGAATTCTCAAGCTTCAATAGTGTCAATTTTGAATGTGAAGAATTATGATTCCCTTCTCAACATATATGCAAAAAAAAGAAAAGAGAATAATGGTCATGAACGAGTCGACAATGGGAAAGAGGCACGGGAGGTAGTGGTGCTGCACTTTAGTGCTCGTTTTGCCTTGGATGATGGCGGCGTAGCGGAGAAAGAAGATGGAGAAAGAAAAAGAAAATGTTTTTCTCTTTTTGACAGATTAGATTAAAATGTCGTGCTTTCATGTTTAACAAAAAAGACTCATGGCACAATGTGAAGCTTTAGATTAAATAAATGGTCTACAAAGTTACTCTACAGTTGGTGCCAAAACGGTAAGTATCCAAATCCCTTATCATGGGACTGCTACCACAGAAAATGAAGGAAAGCAAATACAATAGCAAGGAACAATATGCTGCTACAAGCAAATTCAAATGAAGCTTCATGTTATTCTCCTCTTATGCCAGCAAACCAAAAATTTCAAATCTCCTCTTATGCTGCTAAAGTGAACAACTATCAATGGTCATAAACAAATCACAGATTGATATGTTAGAGGAGGCAAATTCAAATTCACAACTTATTAAAAAATTCTTTGATCCAAACAATAATAACTATGACTTTAATAGCAAGTTACAAATAACAAATGTTGGCATATTAAACATGTTCCCTTACATACACCAAATCAGTGTTCCATAGTTCCTAACATTAAAAGATGTGTGTTTTTTAAGATCCACATGGCACCAAATCAAAGCACATTTACACAACTTCCTCTCAATTACTAACTTTCATAATCACATTAAACCCTAACAACTTGAAAGGAAACAAAACATTGCTATAACCAAAATTGGCAACATATTTGACTGTCAAGAAATCACATTAACCAAAACCTCTAAATCCTAAACAACAGTGCAGCAAATATTTCAAACATCTTGGTTAAATCGGCCTTTCAACAACATTGATCAACAACATTCCCATAATTAAAACCGAAAAAATATACAATATCATCTTCCTTTCAACAACATTGATCAACAACATTCCCATAATTAAAACCGAAAACATATACAATATCATCTTTAGTTGACCTCACATTGATCAACATTTGGAATAGGTAAAAATTAAAAATTTCAATCTGCAAAACTAAACTAAAATCACAAAATTTCTAAGAGTTTTACATATGGATGTTGGTTATGGTCGCTGCAGGTGTAGAACTCTTAGAAGTTTCGTGATTTGTCACTGTGATTTCGGTGTTTTCCAAACAAACACTCATTTGATCTTATGATCCATTTTCTTGGCAAGATTTCTCATCTGAAACCTCCAAAAGAAAAAATAAGCCAATCCAACACCAATCAAACCGAAAATCCAAACATGATCATCTTGTCCTTCTCTTGACCTAATCTCAGCAATACCAAAACCCTCTCTTCCTACTTCTCCCAACATCCCTTCATTCAAATGTCCATACAAAACATACAATCTCCCCTTTTCTCCCACTGTCACCGATGTCGGAAACCGCCGGACATTAATCTCCAATCTCTCATACACCGATCCCTCTCCCCAACTATCCATACTCTTAATGAACCACAGTTTGTTCATCGGCGACACCGCGATAGCGACGTTTGCGTCGCGAACGATGATATCGTCCGCGCCGATTAGATCCTCGGTTAATAGAACAATCCTTGCTGTACCGTCGATTTCGTCGACTTTGAAAAGCTTTCCGGTGCTTGATTGGATTACGAGAAGGTAACCTTTGGAGACGTAGGTGATTCCGTTGAGACCTAAGCTGGATTGATTGTTTGTTGGCGAGGTGTAGAATAGTGGGGATTTTGAGAAGATTGAGGCCGTTCCGGTAGCGGTGACTTTCCAAATGAAGTTTCCGGCAGAGTTTGTTACGAAAGCGTTACCGATGTGATCGACAGCGACGTCGTTGGCCGCGCAGGAGACGGGTTCGGATTCGTGGTTGTCGTCGGCGGAAGGGAGGGGAATGAGGAAGATACGGCGGCGGGAGAAGAGATCGTAAGCGGCGAGGGCATTGAAGGGAGGGAGCGGAGGGTGGGAGTGAACGACGGCGAGGAGACGGTTACGAGAAGAATCAACGGCGATGCCGAGGAAGGATGCGTTTGAGGGGAGAGTCGTATCGGAGATGAAGGTTTCTACGACGCCGGCGTCGGAGACGGCGGTGATGATGCGTTGGCGAAGGGAACCGATGAGGAAATGTTGAGCGCGTGGGTCCCACGCGAGAGATTCGGGGTAGAGATTGGGTGATCGGAAGTTGATGACGTGGGCGTCTCGTGAGAGGATTGGGCTTGGGCCTAATAAGAAGAAGAATGTTATGAAGGTGATGGTTTTGTGGGATAATGAGATTAACATGTTGGTTTTGGGGTAATAATCTGAATTAGCAGAAGAAGATTAAGGTTAATTAGTGAGAAATTTTTGGGATTGTGTTTGTATGAGTGGTTGAAGTGAAGGGTGAAAAGAGTATGAGGATACATGCATAATTAATAAATAAATCATAAATCATAGAGAAATTAATATAAACACTTTTACCATTTCTTTTTTTATAACTTATCCTATTTTGAGAATAAGAGCTTAATAAGGTCGAATAATTCAAAGGATAGTCCTAACACATTAGTACATTCACATGATTGTGTCGTTCGGATCAATATCAAAAAACCTCGTTACTACATTTAGATCGATACAATGAAATGAAAGGGATATATAATCAAATTATATTATTTAGATTAGCAAATAATTAAAATAATAAAATGAAATCGCGTAGAATTCATTTGCGATATCCATTTGGAATTGTGATTGTCATTGTAATTGTGATGTCGATAGTGAAACTTTTAAGACTGTTATATTGTGGCTACAATTACAGTTGTAGATTGTAATTTAGAAATATGATGAAATTACTTGTGAATTAGGAAGTGGAAGATGCGCAAAGAATTCACCACAAAGTGATAAACCTTTTTGAAAGAGCAAGTCTTCCTTCTGTACCGGTGGAAGAGAAGAAAAAGCTCCTCAGTTTTGTAATTGTTGGTGGTGGTCCAACTTGTGTAGAGTTTGCAGTAGAGCTACATGATTTTGTGTATGAAGATATGTGTAAGTTATATCCTTCTCTTAAAGACCGTGTTAAGATTACTCTCCTTGAGACTAGTGATCATATCTTAAACATGTAATGTATATTTTTTTATCTATATTTTGATACTTAGACAAATGGTTTGAAATTGCAGTTGCGTTATGCTGGTGATCATTCTTGATTCATTGCAGGTTTGACAAGAGAATAACCCAATTTGCTTAAGGAAAGGAATTGATGTGAAATTATGATCTATGGTTGTGAAAGTTGGTGAAAATGAAATCTCATTAAAAGAAAGAGAAAGTGGTGAAGTTGTTACTTAACCTCATGGGATGATAGTTTGGTCTACTGGTATTAGTGCTCGTCCTGAAGTAGTTGATTTTATGAAGACCTTAAATTGGATAATCACATACAAGATTATCTATTTATCTCTATTACACTCGGTGCAAGTAGAATATTGTTAAAAAAACTGACCACTAGTTATGTACCAAATAATTATATAAGACACGAGATCTCTTATAGAATAGTAACAAAATATTGGTTACCAGTGCATAAACTAGATAATTAGACTCAACTATACATATGGTGTAATTGGTCGTAGTTATTATACCATAAAAATTAGGCATACAATAACATTAAAATGACCAGGATTGTTTAGAAGATTCATGGTTTACTTTGCTTAAGATTTGTTGTATAGAATTGTTCACATCTATCTATCCCTAATGGTAAGTTAATTTATGTTGTTGTATGAAGAGTGGTTAAAGCATGTTTGGTCATCCTCCTTCCATGACTATGCCTTGTTTTCCTACAGTAGTATAGTCTCAAACATTTATTAAATAGGTACCTTAAAGATGTATATTATTATCATAAAATTAAAACCAAGATGCATATACAATACAAAAGTGGAACATAATTCTTCTAGGAATACTTTACACACTCAACAATCAAGACCAATATTTTGTACTATTTGCTTATGCAGAAGACATACATTGAATGATATAATGCGCAGAAAAATGCTCGACAAAATGGAACAATGATTCTTCGACATCAAACTTTGGTAACAGATTCAGTGTTTCTATTTTAATGCTTGAACAATATTAACTAATACAAAATTAAAACTATATCCAGCATACTAGTTCATATATCCATATCATCACCGGTCTTGCTGGTTTTAAAATCATTAACTGCCTTCTCAAAAGTGCTCCTAACATGCTGGCAGATAAGCATCAGATCCTGACAACCATCTTTTAGCACCTCACTTGCTGGATCCCCTACAACCAAAATTACAGTTACATATAAGTAAAACTTCAACCAAAGTCTTCTCTCATTATGTGAAATCGATTAAATCAATCAAACAACATCATAATAATGGTACTGACTTTGTTTTGTTGTTGTAAAAGAAAAATGGTTAGGTTGAAAGTATGCAAATTGTCTACAACAAATAACAAATAACTAGTCGGCGGAATAGAAAAGATTGTTTTGCAAAATATGAAATTGGAAGCTTAAAGTACACACTCTTGTGATTGTGATATAAAAATGGGATTTTTGGCATTAGACAATGGAAGAAATTTGCAAACTAATCACATTATATACACCATGACACAGCTTATGTTACCACTTACCAGTTGTCTGGACTCTGACATTAACACGATTTTCTGAAGGATGAGGAATGCTGTACCCAGAAAATGTCACTCTTGGACTGCAAGAAAATAATAATTACTCTTATAAGGATATATTTTGCTGAAAACTAGGATTAAGGAAGAGTGGGAAAAGATTGGGCATAGAACGATAGATATGAAAAGACCAAATTAAACACACATTTATAATATGAACACAAAAAACTAAAATCTTTCAAACTCAAACAAAAGAAATCCAAACCGAACAAGGGATGTGACAGGTCCTTGTCTCTCCCTAAGGGATGTGAGAGTGTTGCCAATGGCAGAAGGCCAAAATCTACCACATAAACACGCTCATGGTGGCACTATGACAGGTCCTTGTCTCTCCCTAAGGGATGAGAGGAGTGTTGCCTATGGCGGAAGGCCAAAATCTGCCACATAAACATGCTAACGACGGCACTACGGCTGCAATTTAACAACAGTGAATGAGAGGCAGGAGGAGCTCTGTTAATCAGTCTGTTGTCCATCAAAGAGGATAAAGCTGGATTCATGTTGATTTTTGTTGGGAATTATTCCCTATGTGTAAGCAGTTTTAAGACAATTAATAAACTGAAATTTTGGAAGGTGCGGGATTATATTCTGCCTCTAGAATTCTAGAATGATGTCAATCACAGATTGCGGGAAAATAGTGGTTTGTTAAAATTTGGATATCCTACACTGCTATAGCTTTTCTGTAATAGAAATTTGTACCATGGTTTTAAATTGCAGTCTGCAACTGCAATTGTGGGTGCAACATTGCCGATGCGGTAGTCTTCGCAACCACATCGTACCACAATTGCAATGTGATAAAATCATACATCTGACCGCAGTTAAAAATCACATCAGACAATTCCACCTCCGTTTCTTCAAGTATTTTCATCAAAATTCAAAATTTCAGAACCCAAAGACACAATTTACTTCCTATGTCATGGAAAATCTTAACATCAAGCAACGGTATATTTTAAACACCTTTCAATTAAAATCCACGCTGCAATGACCTCAATATCAACACTTACCACTTGCAATTTAAAACCATGATTTTTACTAAATATAGTATCACATAATAATAGCAATTTGTTCAAATTCGGCTATGCTATAGCCGCTATTTGACAACAACGGATTCGAAAGTGGACGGAAGATAAGAATTCAGAAATTAAATAACTAACTCTTGATTCAAGGTGAATCTGACAGAATTAGCAAAAGTGTGATCCTCGTCCACAAGACAAAACGTTGATTTACTCAGATCAGAGTAAGAACCGTGTTCCATCTCTTACAATCAATCTGCCAAAAAAAAAAACAACAATTTTAAGAAACAAAAACAACAACTGATGAAAATCTCGCCGGAAACTCATCGGCGCTACATGAGAAGAGAAAAGGAATACCTGTTTCCGGCGATGATGAAGAACTGCGTCGGTGAAGTTGAGTTTGAGAGTGAAGTCTCTGATACAACAATGACGAAACGGCAACAGGTGAATCTAGGGTTTTTGTTTGTTAGGGTTTTACGGATTTTAAATTGTTTTTTATTCAAATTATAAATAGTTCAAATGTAGTAAAAATAATTCTCGATCCCAATTTATTTTAAAAATGGTCCTTAAATTGAGTTATAAATGGACTTAAAATTGATTTTTTTTTTTTTTTTAAATTTGAAATTTTTTCGTCCTTCATCATTAAAAATGTGGCAATTTAGTTGAAAATTATCAAGTTAAATATGGACTCGTTTTTTTTACCTTTATAATTTTCTATATTTTTAAAATAATACTTTATAAAGACTAATTTAAAGACTAATTTTGATATAATATTTTTTATAAAATTAAATATATAATATTTCTTGTAATATATACGGATTTTGATTTACATCTGTAAAAAAAAAATGGATTACCCCTTAAAATGTTAAAATTTTATGTTTTTTATCTAAGAGAAAAAACTATTCTTTGTAAAAAAACTATTTTTTTTTACCTTTATAATTTTCTATATTTTTGAGTTACTTCAGATTTAGTGTTTAATTTGTATGTTTAAGAAGATAAATAAAAATATATATAAATTAAAATTTGCTTGAGGTAAAATAGTATTAATTTTTTTTAAATAATAATAATTTTTTAATTTATTTTCAATAATTTAATTTAAAAGACTAATTTTGATGTAATAATTTTATTTTCAACAATTTCAATATGGTTTTGAATGATTCATAAGACCTCTAATTCAAGGGTGCACCATATAACATTGAGAATGATTCCTATGCATGGTTTTAAACATCGTTTTATGTTGTTGTGTAAGATGTTGCTGCATCTTTATCAACTGCCATAATAGTTTTACTGTTATGTGTTTTGAGTCATATGTCGAAGGTAGATGTCATGACATCATGATCTGGTACAACATGCAATGTTGTTTTAAGTTTTGGCAGATTTTATTTGATTGTGGAATATTTCTTTTGGATATGTTTTAGTACATTTCACAGTTGTGCATTAGTTACTAAATTGAGCCTTGAGATAATTTAGTAAATTTTGTATTGTTTGTTCTAAGATTTAAAGAGATTTTGTTGCACAACAGATACAACTCTCAACTCGTGGATCAAGAAATATTTGATGGAGATTTCGAAGCCCATGGATTGAAGAAGTGTATTTAAAGAGAATGCATAACCT